AACAGTGAAAAACAATTTAAAATTCAGATTTCCTAGTCAGTTAACAGCCCATATGATATGAAATCATGTGTGGACACTACTCATTTAATTTGGAAATAATTTTTTTTAAAAAAGAACATTCAAATTTTTATAGACATGGCTACTGAAACTATTCAAAATCCTCCCTTTTAACAGACACCACTGCTCTAGTTAGAAAGCAGCATACACCTGCACAAAGATGAATTGCTTAGTAAATGCCATTATTGAAATTTTTCTGTGTAACTATTCATGAGAAATAATTTACTTTGCTTCTTACCACGAACTTCATCCCAATTTAGAATTTGTTCTGTTTCTTAGTACTGTATTTATTTGTAACATTCCACTATTTTTGAAAATTAAATATTTTTAAGTATTTTAATGTTTTTCATCATATCAGAGTTTAGAAATATACAATTATTCCTACATCTTCATTGTTCATTTTGTATATCTAGAATGAAAATGGAAAGTTCACAAATTGTTTATAGTTTTGCATATTCGGTGAATATTACTTCTAATACCCTAATATTATAACTCAAATAACTTTGTTTTCCTTTCATTTTATGTGTTCTTCTGCAAATAAGTCATCAACTGGAAAATTTCCCCTTTTGTTTTTTTTTTGTTTGTGTGCTATGTGTTACGGGTTTAGGTTTTGTTTTTGTTTGAGGTACTAGGACCCTAAACCCAGGATCTTGCACATGCCAGGCAAGTATTCCTTTGAGCCATATGCCCAAATCCTGGGGAGACGTTTAATAGTGTTGGACTGTCTAGTCTGTACAAGTATTAAGTCATTTTGGTAGTAAATTCAAAATTTCTTGTCTTTCTTGGAATTTTAGTTGGCAGAATAATTAGAAAGATCTCTCTTTAAAATGCTCATTTGGCTGGGCATGGTGGCATACGTCTTTAATCCCAGCACTAGGGAGGCAGAGGTAGGTGGATCTCTGTGAGTTCAAGGCCAGCCTGGTCTACATAGTGAGTTCCAGGACAGCTGGGGCTACGGGAAGACCCTATCTCAAAAAAAAAAAAAAAATGCTCATATGAAAATTTTTAGCAATAATTATCTTCTCTTTTCTTTCTTATATATTGACTCTTAAATTCCTTTACACTTTTTCAGTTATAGTACCTAAGAAGAGAGCAAAATAGTGTTCTCATACAATAGAAAAATAAGGTGCCATGGTCAGAAAATAAACTTAGCACATTGCAAACAGTGTGGCATTTTTTTCTCTGAAATTTCCACACGCAACAAGAAGCATAGACAGCAAGCTTGAGTGGGTGGGTCTCTGAGGTTTTAAACTGTTAATAAAGTAAAATACCTGAAATTTAGCTTTAAATTGAAGACATTTCCAAACATGTTTAGTTCATTAACAAGAATAATGTATTCTGACCGTTTATGCTAGGTGAGTGTGCTGGATTTCTTTCTTTCTTCAAATTATTTTTTTTTCTTCTCAGAAAATGAAAGTAATTGATCTTAGTCAACTCTTTCATTAGCTTGCATTTGGTCTAATACATGAGGAAAGACCAGTTTCTGAACACTGAGAATTAACACTAGTAGTAACACTAGTAGCTGTGGATGGTATATTTTAAGTTCAAGATTTTATTTTTAAAAGTTGAAGATATTGTATAGTATATTTTCATTTGTGTGACTAATAGAAGTACATGCCCTCCACTGTGAGGGACTGAACGTAATCATTTAAGTCAGAAAGTCCCAAAACCAAAACTCATGGTAACAGGAAGAAATGTCTGTGCTTTTATTAGTTTGATTTTACTCTCAGAAAATGAAATCCAAGTCAGGTTTTGTTTTGTTTCCAGTAGCATTATGCATAATTACTATTTTTTTGCCCTCTCCTAATTAAAGCAGAGGTTTAGAATTAAAAGCCATTGAGGAGATAATATGATAAGGATTGTTGAGTACATCTCATGGCAAGCAGAGTTCCAGATACTCCAGCAGAGCAATAGACAATGTCCTTGATGTTGATAACAACAAGAATACATTTGGTAGCTCATTCCTCCTTTGGTTTTCTCTTTACTCTTTCTTCTTTTAAAACTCCTCCTTGTTCTCTATCTTATTCTTAATAGCCTGTCTTTCTTTTTCTCTTTCTTTCTTTTTTCCTTTAATTTTTTTTGAGGGAGGGCCATGTTAAGCAAATATACCTGTTATGGAATTATTTGATAAATAGTACTAAAATGAACTAATTTCTTAAAAGCAAGCTCTATGTCTCTTTATGTTGACTCATCTACTATATGATTTATTAAAACAAATTTCAGGATTTGACTCATAGTTTGGAGTATAAAAATAAAACTTTTTACATATCATTTAAATTATTTCTGTAGATCTCCAAGTAAGCCTTTGTCTCGGAAATTAATGGATTGGGAAGTGCTCAGCAGAAATTCTTTATCTGACGACAGGTTAGAAACACAAAGCCTTCCATCCCGGTCTCCACCTGGAACTCCCAACCAGTAAGTGCAAGCCAACATCAGGAATGTGTTTTCTCCTTTCTAAATTACTGACTATATCTTTTTATTGCCTAAAGGTTATAATATGTACAAATTAAAATTTTTTGACCACAATTATTTGTTGTTGCTTTAAAGCATTACTACTTCTTTGCCTGCGTCTGATTGTAGAAGTGATAGAATAGCCTTAAAGAGATGAGGGCATAGAGAATTGAAGAACAGCCTTCACTTTCCTCAGCAGTTGACTTTCACAGAAGTACCTCTGAATAATTCGGAATCTATTCACCGACTTAAACATTTTATAGAAATGTTGATTCTGTAATCCATTTCCATATAGATTTCCAAAAAATTTCTAAGGGAGTGTATATTGTTTGAAAATGCTTTATAAGTGATAGTGATTTATAGCTCTAGCATTTCATGTAGTAGGACGAGATTTCTAACAGTAGCCCCCATAAGCTTAGGTTATACCTGTGCTAAAAAGAACTGTGTGAGGGGCTGGAGAGATGTCTCAGCAGTTAAGAGCACTGACTGCTCTTGCAGAGGACCCAGGTTCGATTCCCAGCACCCACATGGGGGCTATGAACTGTCCTTAACTCCAGTTCCAGGGGAATCCGAAGCCCTCTTCTCACCTCCACGGCATTGCACAACACACGGGTGCGCTCACATACATTCAGGCAATACACTCATACACATAAAATAAAAAGTATAAAATATTTTAAAAAAAGAACTGTGTGAATCGGCACTTACTGTGTATCTACTTCAGTCTACTCTTTCTCACAAAGGCTCTAGATTTCTGGTGTAGATAAAAATAAAATACTAAGGAAGACTTCTTGAATACCAGAAAGAAAGACAAGGTAAGGCTTAAGGGAGGGTTATGGACAGGGGGAGGGAAGTGGATGAGGGAGGAAAAAAGAGAAGGGAAGGAAGAGGAGAGAATGAAGGAATTTAAGCCAGGTGATTCAAATAATAAATAACAATAGCTTTGATTACATTTTCTAAGTAATGAAACAATTTTAAGGATGATCCGAAAAAAACAATGCTCTAAAGAGAGAGTGCATTGTGGTGATCAAGAGCAGTGGTTCTAGTGTCACTAAATGCTGAACAAGTTCCTTTTCATTTCATTTTCTTATCTACGAAACTCTATTCATCATGTGTCATAAAGTCTTAATATAATATTAAATAAGGTAACATTTGCCCAGCACATAACAAGAGCTTAGGCATTAACTATTACAGTTAATTATAGCAATGTTAATATTTATGTAGGTATCAGTTATGACAGATTATTTAGTATCTATTCATAGGACTTCAAGTGTTCTGTAAATTAAAAACATTTATAAGAAAAGAATAATTGAGATTAGAAAATATTTCTAAACATTCTAATCAATTTTATGAATTTTGAATAAGGTTTAATAGTGACTGAAACTTAGAAACACAAGATAGAGATAACAGAAGAATGGGTAAAGTCTTGGCATGTTGTAGGCTGCAGTCAGATCTTGATTTCCCATTCTGTGTTACTTTTATATCACACTTTTTATGTCAGGGACTCTGTTTAGCTAGTCTTAAATACATACACCTGCTTTTTCATAAAAATATGTAATTAAGAAACTTGGAAACTTTGAATTAAATCATATCTTTGTTTAACTTCTTCATTTAGTCGAAATTCTGTATTCACACAAGAGGGCACCCGGGTACGACCATCTTCAGTTGGTCATTTGGTAGACCATGTGGTTCACACGTCTCCCAGTGAGGCATTTGTGAATCAGAGATCGCCATCATCAACACAAGCTAATAGCATTGTTCTGGAGTCATCACCGTAAGACCCTTTTTTTGTTTGCTTCCTAATTATTTTCAAATGCTTTAAGTGTTCCACATGATATAGTCTGGGAGATATGAGTATTTGATACAAGGTGTTATTTATATAATTCTTAAATACATACTTATAAATGTACTTACTTGTCCCTGAGAATTCTTATTGCCTTTCTCCCCTTTACCCTTCTGGTTTCTATTATTTAGTTTTTAGTGTATACACTGAAAAATACTTGTTCAGATAATGAGTACTGTAGACAAGGAACAGGATAGTGAAAGATAGAGCCTTCCTAATTTTTATTAAGGAAAGAAACTGTAAATATGAAGAGACTGTGTTGTGAAAAGTGTTGAGGGAAAAATAAATAAGGTGATCATTACACTAAATCATAGAAAGCATGCCCACATCATTTCTTTTTTTTAAAATTCATTTTAATTTATTTATTTTAGACAGGGTTTCACTATGAAGCCCTAGCTAGCCTGGAATTCAGTATGTAGACCAGGCTGGCCTCAAACTCACATATATCCATCTACCTACCTCTGTTTCCCAAGGGCTGGGATCAAAGGTATGTATCACCACACCTGGGTACCCACATATCTTCTAAAGTCTATCCCTACCATTATATTACGTACTAATTGATCCATAAATTCCACACCTTAATTAAGTATTGATAACCATCATTTTCAGGTACAGTCTCAATTTCCTCACATTAATATGTAACATCTTGATTTGTTGACATATATAATGCTATCTAGCCCATATGCATGTGACAGAATTGGGAAGAGAGTGAATACCTACATGATGATAGATAAATAAGAAATGTATTATTGAAGAAAAGGGAGTATAAGGTATTAGTATGATTGATCTTAAAGAAAAAATGAGTCTTAGAATGATGGGTAAAAGAGGGATGATGAGGTCAGGTACTCTGGAAAAACATGTCCAGATAAGCCATGGTTATCTGGGTAGGGCCAAAGAATACTAAGCTAAGCTGTCAAGACATGTAAAAGTAGCCTTGTTAACTTTTCTTTTTAAACAGTTTGTGTGTCTACATTATAAGGAATGAAAAAGTAGAGCAGATATATGTGGTACAGTGATGCCTGCATTGACCAAGTTGACAAGAGATAGAACTGATGGACATTTAATGTTTTATTACTTTAAAAATGATAGCTTTTTTCTTGGTTTTTGATGATCATTTATTTTCTGATGTTGAAAGTTTAAGTTCTATTCTTGTAGATTAATCATATCCTTGAAAGTTTATGCATACTTTCTAAATCACCTCAAGCATTAATTGGTGTATTTGTTACTTTTATGTAACTGTGACCAGAGTACCTAAGAAAACCACTTTTAAAGAGAAAGGATTTGTTTTAGCTTATAGTTTCATAGATTTCAAGCAGTAGTCCTTGACTGTTGATTCTGGGCCTGTGGAAAAGCAGAACATTATAGTGGCAAGGGTGTGCAGCAGAGACTGCTTACCTCACGGTGGTCAAAAGCAGAGAGAAAGGCAGAAGGGACCAGGAAAATGGTACCCTCTAAGGGTCTACCCAGAGTGACCCATTTTCTCCAGGTAGGTCCCACCTCCTAATACAGCCTCCCAAAATAATACCTCTAGCTGGGAACCAAATATTTAACACTTGAACCTGCAAGGTAAATTTCATGCTCGAAACATAACAGTGATCTGTCTGATATGGTGTTAATTTTTAAGTACTCTCAGCATCCGTATAACTTAGCCAAAGAGTCATGAAGCCCAAGTTTTAAGCCAACATTTTTTTTAATATTTCATTTATTTGTTTTTATTTTATGTGTATGAGTGTATTGCCTGAATGTATGTGAGTCCACCGTGTCGTACAGTGCTGCAAAGGTCAGAAGAGGGCTTCAGATTCCCCTGGAACTGGAGTTAAGGATGGTTCATAGCCACCATGTGGGTACTGGGAATCAAACCCAGGTCCTCTGCAAGAGTCAGTGCTCTTAACCGCTGAGCCATCTCTCCAGCCCCTACATTTTATCTATAAAGTGTAAGCTAGATTAAATGATTGGTGATGGCAGGGCTGATGTAGTTAAATGAGTCATGATCTCTTGGTGTTATCTTTAGAGAGTGCTTAAAAGAACCATCATTCATGACCAAGTTTGTATTAATATCTATCAAGGAATACAAGTTTTTTTTCCCTGTGTTCTTTTTTTAAACTTCTGTATCAATTAAGTGTGTGTAACACTGACCTTTTAACTTTTTAAAACTTTTACTATGTCCAAGGTTTATCTTGCTGTTTTTTTATATGTAACTAAAATAATACCTTCAGTATTTTTTTCCTAACTTTTGTGAGGACAGGTTTTTTCCAGCTGGCATCTTTTTATATGTATGAATGTTTTTTTTCCAGCTGGCATCTTTTTATATGTATGAGTGTCTTGCTTGCATGTAAGTTTACCTGTGTCATGCGATGCCCGTGGAGGTCAGAAGAGGGCATCAAATCCCCTGGGACTGGAGTTATTTATGATTAGCCACCAAGTGGGTAATGGTAACTGAACCCAGGTTCTCTGCAGAAGCAGCTAGTGCTCTTAACTGATGAGCCATCTCTCCAGCGCCTCAGCTGGCAACTTTAAAGCTAGATAATATGCCCTCATATGCCACATTCTTGATACCTACTTCGATCTTTGGTTTCTAGTTCCCTGGTGCTGTCTTCTTGTTTCTGATTGGTCTATGTTTAATTATGCTGCTTGGTTATTCTCCCAAATACATAATTCCTCTTTTTTTTTTTTGTGTGTGTGTGTCTTTTTGAGACAGGGTCTCCCTTGTAGCCCCAGGAGGCCTAGAACTCGCTAGGTAGACCAGGCTGGCCTCGAACTTGCAGAGATACACCTGCCTCCCAAGTGCTGGGATTAAAGGCATGTACCACCACGCCCGGCCTACCTCTATTGTTTTTTAAATTATTATTTTTTATTATTTTTATTTTATGTGTATGAGTATATTGCCTACATGTATGTAAGTTCCCACAGAGTTCAGAAGAGGGCGTTGGATTCCCTGGAACTGGATCTACAAACAGTTGTTAGCCACCACATGGGTGCTAGGAATTGAACTCAGGTCCTCCGCAAGAGCAGTCAGTGCTCTTAACCACTGAGGCATCTCTCCAGCCCCCTCCTCTATTGTTTTATTCCTGCTGGACAGTGTGTGTGTACATCTGGAAATAACTTTTTTTAAAAGATTTATTTTATTCTATTTCCCAAGAGTATTTTGGCTGCATATAAGTATATGTACCATGTGCATGCTTGGTGCCTGTAAAGGCAAGACCAGGGCATCAGATCTCTGGAACCAGTATTCTAGACTGTTGTTAGTTGCCATGTGGGTGCTGGGAGTCAAACCTGAGTCCTCAGCAAGAACAACAAGTTCCATTTCTCTAGCCCCAGTAAATAATTTAAAGAACTAGTCTATTTTATGACAGGGTCTCTTGTAGCCTCAGCTGACCTGAAACTCACTTGTAGACAGGCTGGCCTTGAACTCACAGAAATCCACCTGGCTCTGCCTCCCAAGTGCTGAGATTAAAGGCTTGTGCCACCATGCCTGGCTGTTTTATGGCATCTTTAACATAGTAATTTCTAGTAATAACTCATGATTTTGCCAGTTTGTCATCTTCCTAGATAATTAATTAATAGACTAACTGCCTGTTATAGTTCTGTATTAGATAGGAGAAAATACCAAGTTATCATTCACTAAAATATGCTGAATTCATAGTTTTGGAATATGTTTATTTTTATGTTTAAAATACATTTATTTATTTGTAGTGGCATCATATGTAGACATCAGAAAACGACTTGCAAGAATTGATTCTCTCCTCTCATCACATAGTTCCTAGGGATTGAACTCCAGTTTGTCAGGCTTAGCAGGAAGCACCTTTACCCACTGAACCATCTCACTGGCCTAGACTATGTTTTTTAAATGTAATTGATGAACTTGCCCAATATATGAATTTCAAGAATCTGTATAACATTCTTGTTTATTTTTTCATACATGTGTTTGTGCATGTCATGTCCAAGAGTTTAGCTGTAGGAAACTGGGAAGATAGTTCAACTAGCAGATGGCTTGCCCTGAAAGCATAAGAGATGAAGGTCCTGAGTTCAGTCCCCAGAATCTACATAATTAACAGAACAAAACAGTTGTAATGGCACATACTTACAAAATGAGCACTGGGGAGGCAGAAACAAACAGATCCTTGGTACTCACTGGCTAGCTACCCTAGTCCAGTGGGTAAGTTCCAAGCCAGTAAGAGAATCTGTCTCAAAACAGGTGGAAAGCCAGACTTGATGGCACATGCCTGTAATCTCAGTACTTGTTAGGTAAAGGCAGGAGGATCAGCAGTTCAAAGCTAGCCTTCACTACAGAGTGAGTCTGTATCTCAAAGCAAAAGCAAAAACTAAAAAAAGGTTGACAACATCCTGAGGAATTACACTTGAAGTTGACCTCTGGCCTTCATATGCATGTGCACATACCCTGCACACATGTGTGTACACACACACTCCCAAAAAGTAAGAAAGACTCTAGCTGTTGCATTTGGAAGCATAGACAAGGTAAACAGAGGGCAGTGAGGTAGACTCAGTAGGCAAAAGGACTTCTATGCATCCTGACAACCTGACTTTGATCTCTCGAACCTATGATAGAAGGAATCAACTCCATAAGGCTGTGTTCTGACTTCCACATGTATGCTATAGCAAGCACATGCCTGTGCATGTGCGCACATACTAATAATAATAAATAAAAATTTAAAAGGGGAAAGTTACCACATAATTAGATTCTAAAAACTCCCTAGACCAATCTCACATCTATAGCTATAAGATACTTAGAAAGTTTAGCCAGACATGGTGTTACATACCTATAATCAGGAGACAGAAGCAGGAGGATTGTAAGTTTGAGACCAGCCTGGGCTACATAGTAAGACCCTATCTCAATAAATAATCAAAAATAAGCAAATAAGTAGGACCCTTACATACCATTCTTTAGAGAAATTCCATGTGGAGGTTAGCAG